GAAAATTGATTCTGGCTAATTGTTTGGCTACAGAAAAAAAAATCCTAGCTAGGGCCCTGAGTATGATATGATGCTACAATACCGTCCAAGCAAGGATAACCCAGCAGACTTTACAAGCCGACATCCTGAGAACAGTGCATCATGCAGCCGTGCAGAGAGAATTGGTGAAGAGTACATTAACTTCCTGGCACAGGCAAGCACTCCTATTGCATTGACCCTTGATGGGATCAGAGCAGAAACTGCTTGTGATAACGAAATGCAAGATGTCATAAAGGCCATCAGATCAAATCGGTGGTCACAAGAGATTCACAATACCAAAAGGTCAGAGGGGAGCTATCGGTTACAGCGGACCAAAGCCTAGTCCTCAGAGGACGACGCATAGTTCTCCCACAGTTATTGCGACAGAGAGCAATAGAGCTTTCTCACGAATGCCACCAGGGACTAGTTAAATCTAAGCAATTGCTCAGAGCGAAGGTGTGGTTCCCAAATGTGGACAAGCTAATGGCGGACCAAATAGAAAGATGCATAGCATGCCAGAGTAATATCACAACACCCCAGACTATGGTCCCTCTACAAATGACAGACTTACCGGATTATCCATGGCATTCTGTCAGCGTTGACTTCTATGGTGAGCTACCATCAGGAGAACATCTTATGGTTCTGATAGATGATTTCTTCAGGTATCCAGTGGTTGAGATCATACACTCACTCACTGCTACGACTGTCATTCCTGTCCTTGACAGAGTGTTTTCTCAGTTCGGAACCCCAGTAAGGTTGAGGTCCGATAACGGCCCTCCCTTCAACAGTTAAGACTTTGCAGACTTCACTAAATATCTCGGTATAAAACACCATCGTGTAACTCCTTTGTGGCCACAGGCCAACGGGGAGGTTGAGAGGTTTATGCGGAACTTAGGAAAGGTGACCAGAACCGCCGCGGGTGAACATACATCATGGAAACAAGAACTATTCAAATACCTAAGAAATTATCGTGCTACACCACACTCCACAACAGGAGTCCCACCAGCAACAGTTATGTTCGGACGTGACATTCACATCAAGCTCCCATCAGTCGATGATGGAAAGGGCACCCCGGACAAAATCAACAGTGAAATCAGATCGAGAGATAGGGCTGCCAAATCAAGGATGAAATCTTACTCAGACTCTAAACGGAGAGCGAAGGACTCCAATCTACACGTGGGAGACACTGTACTTGTGAGACAGAAGAAAATCAACAAGCTGACACCTCCTTACAGTCCCAAACCTATTACTGTGATTTTTTGTGTTTGGTATTTTCAATGGTAAAATTGTGCCAGTCGTATGTTAGTTTTGTCGTTATCTTGCGTTGGCGTTGTGTGAATTTTCTAGGTAAGATACGTACGTATGCCATATTATGATTGTTTGTTGATGTAAATTGTTAATGCATTGTATGTAGCCGTTGAGTTTAGGTAGTCTGGATATAGTCTGATGTAGAGTCGTGTATTCGTTGCAGCCCGGGAAATTGGTACCCGTATCCGTTGATGTAATTTGATGTGAGGTCCGTGACGTATCTGAGGAAAGGCTTCAGCGTTTTGTAAGTAAATTGGATGTTTCGTGTAAATTGTTTGTAGCAGTGATATCAGAATACCCAAGCTAATATATGTCGGAATGTTTGTGTATATCAGAATACCCCTGGTAATATATATCGGAATGTTGCCGTGGGACGCAGATGTGTGTTACGTGTAGTGGAAGGTTGCCGTAGACCGCAGAATACCCCTGCTGATATATATCAGAATATCTAAAGGTTGTATCGGATGAATTAGGGGGAGAATGGAGATTTAATGTGTATGCAAAGTTGTCATTTGTTAGCAGAGTATCTGTGATACCTGTGTAGTCGCGTTGCTGTGTAACGTATAACTTGATTTCATTATTGTGTTTGAGTGTGAATTTAAAGCGTGTAATTTCTATGTGTTACAGTCTACCACACGTTACCATGTCTACGTGAGTAGAGCATGGCTACATGCGTAGCGAATAAAATGGCTGGTATGAACTGCAGCCTGAGTCTTCTTCTTCTTCTTCCTCGTCTCTGCGGGAGCACATCACAAAGGTGACAGCAGAGTGTGATGGACATCGTATAACGCGGAACACGTCCTTCTTCAAAAAAATTCTTGGGGAGAAGGTAAAGGGGTCAGGGACCAACAATAATAAACGACTCGTTCGTGATCTGGACTATGACGAAGTGGACATTGTAGATCCAGTTGCTCATAATGATCCAGCTCCGGTTGAGAATCAGCCTGCTCCAGTTAGACCTCAGCGCAGAGCCAGGCGGCCCGCATATCTGCAGGACTATACTGTTTGATCCGTTTACAAGTGGACATTAATCAGAGTGAAAATTTGTCAGGAAAAACTCACTTAATTATATTGTTTAATTTTACCTAATATGTTCAATCCAGTTGTATTTTGGACATCAATCGTGCTACTTTCAGTTTCGTCAACAATAAGCAATTATCCCGTTAATAGGTTTTTAAACATAAGTTAAAGGACTTTGTTTAACTTTCATTTAGTGTTTATTATTCCATTATATTAGACATTGGTTGTCAATCTAATAAGAAGGGGAGAGATGTGATATTCAGTGCACAACTGAGTAGTCTTACGTTTTCCCGATAGGGGTCATTAAAGTGGTTCTTGTTCGCAGCAACCATTAGTGTGATGCGTTGTTTGTCTCCTTGAGATAATATTAAACATTACACCTCCTAACCACGCTTCCATTCGGGTACTGCACCATGTACGATCGTGGCTCGTCGCACACCTACATTATGGTCGCTGGTTCCCACTGTGACTTCCTTGGCTCTTTAACCATGACTTTCATGCCTGGTAACAGACCTGGCAGTTCTGCTCCGGCATGTGTGTCGTATCTCTCTCTGCTCGCTTGTTTCTTTGCTAACAGCCTCTCGAATACTAGTGTGTCAGTCACTGTAGTGTCATTCTTAACAGGAAGGTTGGAGCGAACCTTTCTGTTGTATAAGATTTCGGCAGGGCTCGGCAAGCCTGCATCGAGAGGTGTTGTGCGCAGGCACAATAACGCTAGCTTTGGGTTCGTGCCGCTCTGCTTCACTTTCTTCAGGACATGTTTGACAATGCCGACCATTCTCACAATGACGCCATTGCTTTGAGCGTATCGGGGGCTGCTTGTGATGTGCTAAAACTCCCAGTTCATTGCAAAATTAAGGAACTTGGCACAGCTGTGCTGCGGCCCATTGTCCGTGATGAGCCGTTTCTGAACGCCGTGCACCGAGAAGAGGTCCTTACAGAATTTGATGACCTCTGTGCTTGTCTGCATGGTCAAACCTCGGACGAACGGCATCTTGCTGAACTGGTTAGTGACGAGAGCGTACATGTGTCCGTCGAGTTCGAACAGGTCACTCGACAGTGTGTCCCAGGGCTGGGATGGCATGTCGTGCGGCTGCATGGGCTCTGACTGTTTTGCAGTCACGTGAGGCAGTCATTGCACGACTTCTCGATGTCCGACATGTTTAGCCAGTACACAGACTCTTTGGCGCGTAGCTGTGACTTGGTGATGCCTTGGTGTCCTGCATGTATGCGTTCCAGGAATTCTGGCTGCATCGAGGCTGGAATTATGATCCTGTTGACTGTGTATAGGACTCCATCCTCGACTGAGATGTAATCTCTCATCGACCAGTAACTACGTATTAGTTTCAGCATCAGCCTTGCTTCCGCTGGCCATCCAATCATCACCTGTTCTCTCAGAGCCGAGAGCCCAGCGTCGCTCGTTGTGGCTTCATGTGGCTTGCTTAGCTGATTATTCGTAATCTGAACGAGGTGAATTGTGCGTTCTAGCTCAATCTCGGGGCCTTGTGACGGACATATCCTTGACAGGTAGTCAGCATACATCACTTTGGGGCCTGGTCTCCACGTTATCGTGACAACATATGGCTGGATACGTAGTAGCATCCTCTGTAGCCTCTGTAGTGCTTCACTGAGCTGCGTTTTCATCTGTATGTTCTCCAGCGGCTTGTGATCGCTGTACAGGTTAGTGGCTTTCCGTATACGTATGTATGGAACCCTTCCAAACCATACACAACTGCGAGGAGCTCACGTTCTATGTTTGCATATCGCGTTTCCGCTGCACCAGAGCTTTCGAGGCAAACGCTATGGGCTTCTTGTCTTGTATCAGCGCTGCTCCTAGTCCGACGGAAGACGCATCTACTTCGACCTCCACAGGCTTTTGTGGGTTGAAAAACCTCAGCTTCAGGTCTTCGTGCACTGCGTCTTTGAGGGTGACGAATGCCGCTTGCTGCTCTGCGTCCCATATCCTTGAGGAGCTGCCGCAACACATCAGTCTTCTCGGATAGGTGAGGAATGAACGGTGGTAAATGCTGCACAACTCCAGGAAACTTTGCAAATCCTTGACGTTTTCTGGGGTGGGCGCCTCTGTATTTCATCACATTTCTTGGGATCTTGAATACCCTTGAAGCACTTTGGATACAACCGCTGAAGCATATCGCGGTCTGGGATGGGAGGGGTTGGTGCGGGTTTAGTATGGACAGGGTCGTGGGGGGAAGTCGGCAGGCTTTCACAATTTGTCGCAGAAATGTTGTTGCTTTCCACAACCTGAATGATGCCTAACTTCTCTGTGGCCCCACATGAGAGAATTTCAGGGCCTTCTGTGTCGCACACAGAACCTCGAATCGTGCCATTTAGAGGTTTCAAACTGTATAGGAATATCAATAACTCCCATCTGTGAAATGCTGTACTGTTCACGGCAGTCAGCCTCACTTTGCTGCTTCTTAAGACTGATTTACGGTCGTCAACCTTGGGAAACATCTGCTTCAGACATCGCAATGGAAGAATGTTCCCATTTGCACCTGTGTCCGCTTTCACCGTGAGGGTGACCTTCCCTCGGACACCAGGTGGCCTCACATTCAGCTTCGCCATAATCGACTGTCTCTCGTTTGCGTCAATGTCTCCAACTACGATTACTTCGCCACAGTTGAGTGACGTCGCGCCTTGATAGGAGTTGATCGCGTCTACATTCCGGCCTCTGCTGCTCGAGCGGGGTCGTTGCAACGGATTTCCCTGCTGCTTCGTGGCGGACGTCTTGTGGTGTTTTCCATCCTTTCGCATACAAACGACTGCAAAGTGGTTCGCCTTTCCACATTTGCTGCACTGTTTCCCATACGCTGGGCATTTTTTGGTCACGTGCTTGATCCCACAGTATCTGCATTTATCGTGGTGTCGTGATGGGTGTTGAATGGCGTCCACTTTAACACCTGCGCTGAAGGAGGAGGAGTTTTGCATCGTCGATTGGTAGTGCTGTGCAGACTTGACGGCATCCTCCAACTTCAAGTCGTTTCCCTTGGCGATAAGGGTTTTGCGCTGGAATGTGGGTCATTTCGTCGCGAATTGAATTGTCCGTGAATTCGCACGATTGTGCCTTGGCTTTCTGGCGACAGATAAAGCTTTCTATCACTTCGCCCTCTCTCTGCATGAGGGAGGAGAGCTCGAGTTATTATTGGAATTTTATTATAATTATTATTTGGAATTCTATAGATTGGAAGATACATAAATTGATTGTTAAATGAGCTCTTTGATTGTAAACGTTTATATATGTTTTGAAAGTTGTATGATTAATTTGTAATTTAAGCTATACATTTGTCGTTTGTTACGTAATAATTCTGAAACCAACAGTAATAAATAAATTTCAAACTTAGTGAACTGATTTGTTATTCTGTAAATTAATTTAAAACATAATTGTTAGGGTGATGAAGCAAGATTTGAACATTTGTGAGTTTATGTAACATGTTCTCAATTAAATTGCAAGTTAGTAAATTGGTTTGTTGTTTTGAAAATAAATTGTACATTTAGAAAATGAATTTTTACAATCATGTGAAGGAATTTGTATATCAGGCAATTATTTTGGATAGTTGTGAATTAATTTGCAAGTTAATAAATTGATTTGTTATTCTGTTAATTGATTTTAAATTTTGAATTTAAATTTCTCGAACAATATAAAGTAATTTGTATTTTTATTAATTAATTTGAAATATTTAAAATTGATTTAAAATTGTGTATTTGAAATGTTTGAAAATGATTTTTGAAGGGGATGGCTTCCATAATAAACACTGAACACGTAACATTTCTTTTACTCGGCGTATAAACATGCTTAATTAGTAGAAGTGCATTATCCCAATTCGAGTTGAATATGAATTTACAAAAGAACAAGTTTAATAGGGTTAATGTTAATGGATCAAGTGAATATTTCGTCCAATGAATAATACTTATTTACAGTGCCAGTGCGGTTGGTTTAGAATCTAGCAAATAGAAACACAAGAAGTATATTTTGACAATGAAAATGTAGGATGAAGCCTTGAAGGTTGACTGCTATGCTGATGCTGGCTGCCTTGCTGATGCTGAGGCTGATGCTGTCATGCTGATATACTAGTCTAAACTAGGTGGATAATGTATACACTAGCTGGGAAATTTCTCCTACAAGTCTAAACTAGCTGGATAATGTATAAACTAGCTGGGAAATTTCTGCTACCAGTCTAAACTAGCTGTGAAATTTCTCCTATCATCCTAAACTAGCTGGGAAATGTAGAGCGATATATAGAATTAGCCTATGACGATACCATGCGTATATTTTTGGTAATTAATTCAACTATTCGTCCTTCAATAAACTCAAAATTCACAGAAACCATAGCGAAGACATGTGTTTATATGTATCTAGAATTTTAGAAATGTAACTCGGATCGTTCGCGAGATATTAGAGGTGGGGCGTGTGAAACATCTCACGAGTTAGCCGGCGAGGCGAGCTCACCGATCTCCAGGAGGGTGAACTTATCCCACGAGCCGAGCTCACCGATCTACAGACGCATCAACTCGCCCAAATGTGGGGGCGAGTTTGGAGGTGGGCCGAGTTGACCGGACACCAAAACACCTACCTAGATCAATCTAACCCAACAGGAGTAGGGTTACAACGACAACACCGTTTTTGCGTGGAGCCGTCCTGAATGATTCAAAACGGGGGGGGGGGGGTTATGATGTGTTCTTGGGGACTACGTACTTTTATTCATGTTTTATTCTGAACACGAATCTTTTTACTCAATCCCGAGCATTACGACCCACCACAATAACGTCTCTGAAGCATTTATATACTGTTTCAAAAGATCGATGGGAGGAGCGGCGATTTATCCAACCGCTATTTCTGTTGACCTGTGATGCAAGCTTTTCCAATGCGCATAGCGCTCGGCTAACTTTGGGCAACAGAAATGGCGGTTGGATAAATCGCCGCTCTTCACATCGATCTTTTGAAACCGTATATAAACGCTTCAGAGCCGTTATTGTAGTGGGGTGTAATGCTCTGGATTGAGTAAGTACGTAGTCCCCAAGAACACATCATAACCCCCCCCCCTCCCGTTTTGAATCACTCGGGGTGGCTCCACACAAAAACGGTGTTGGCGCTGTAACCCTACTCTTGTTGGGTTACATTATTGTATCAAGAGCGGATAATACCTAGAGTGTACAACGGAAAAACGGGAAAATAGTGCTATTTCACGACTACATTATTCTACTTTGCCTGCGAGTCTAGAATAATTTCATGGTATTGCATTAAAGCAGATTCTTTGCTCTCTAAAACAGACAACCGCTTGTCAATACGATACTCCTAGGCGGAGATATCGGCTCCTAAACCTCCCCTCCCACATGCCAAACGCCCCCTCGTATCCACTTCTGCCACCATCCTACACGCGGCTAAGCGTTGAGTCGTGAAAGTTCGGTTATTTCCGTGATAAATTTATGAATGGACGGTGCTTCGGTTATCATAGGTGACATTCGGGGGCATCGCCTATGCCCTTATCTTCCATTATCTTTCCTAGCACGGCTAATGCCCGTCATGATGGAGCCGGCTCCATCAAGTTTTTACAACGCAGCTCAGTTACTCAGTGTAGTAACAGTACCAAATTTGGGCATATGACATCAATTATCAGCGCTCCAAGATGGTGAGCGGAAACGATAGCCAAAATGCTTACCCGCGTGTAGGATGGTGGCAGAAGTGGATTCGAGGTGGCGTTTGGCATGTGGGAGGGGAGGTTTAGGAGCCGATATCTCGCGCCTAGGAGTATCGTATTGACAAAGCTGTTGTCCTTGTTTTAGAGAGCAAAGAATTCTGCTTAATGCAATACCATGAAATTATTCTAGACTCGCAGGCAAAGTAGAATAATGTAGTCGTGAAATAGCACTATTTTCCCGTTTTTCCGTTGTACACTCTAGGTATTATCCGCTCTTGATTGTATCTATAAAACACCACGTGCAACCAAGATGTTCTAAGGTCAATCTAAATTGCTTCATTTATACTGGTTCTATGTTTATCAAGTTATCATGTTATGGGTATCATGCTGTAGAAATTTCAATGTTGTGCAATGAAATTTGATAATTTTATGGAATTTAAGTTATCTGTGTGTATATTGTATTAGCATGTGTGCAAATTCAATTATGTTTTTCTTTCTTACGTACAACTACATTTTATTTATAATAGGCTATAGGGTAATGACTATTGGCACACCAACTTGATAGCAATGGCAGCAGGACACGAAAGTTGGAGTCTGCGCATTTATAACTATGGCTACACCTGGTATTTAACAGCACGTCAGTACTTTCCCTTGAGGATCCTCATCCCATACAGAGTGTCTAACAGGACACAAGAGGCAATCGGTGCCCTCTTTCAAGCTGTTAAAAGTGGTGAACAACACACGCGCATTTTGGAGCACATACTCTCAGACAGCGTGCCGGGTGATGACTTACTATTTTTCAAGAGTCCACGAGGTTACAACATCCTTCAGGAGGCAGCCATGCACAACAACCTTCCACTTGTCAGGCTACTACTGAACCACAACTGCAATCCAAATGCCGGGGATTGCAGCCTGCCGCTGTCCGTAGCATGTAAGTCCGGTGTTGTGGACGTAGTCGAGCTGCTACTCGCACATAATGCCCGTATCGACCAGGTGTACGGCATGTGCTACCCGAATCCACACATGCCTGTTCTAAAGGAGAAAGACATGTTCGGACGTGAGTCAAGACATTATCAGTGCGAGACGAATGCGCAGCTGCCGATTTATCACGCGATTGAAAGTGACCGCCCAGACGTCATCAGCATGCTGCTTGCGCATGAGGACAACCACTGGCTGAAGTGGCAAGCGCAGAAACCTCTGCTGCATCTCGCCTGCGAGATGGGTTCACTAAGCAGTATGAAATTGCTAGCGAAGCGGCGACATGGTGACCTTGACCTTATGCTGGCCGACCGCTCACCGCTACACCGTGCGATTGAGCATGGCCCGCGCTATGTCAGTGTGCTTGTCGGCCATGGTGCCGACACTGCTGCGATCACGAGCCACAACCAGACGTCGCTGCACCTTGTCTTCACGAGCACACGCAACTTCTTCAACATCTATCGCACGCTGCACCTGCTGCTCGCACACGGAGCCGCCGAGAACGTGAACCTGATGGACAAGGATGGCAACACACCGCTGCACCTACTGCTACAGCTGATCTTCAGCGCTCACAAGGATGACTCTCTTGAAGGTCGCTTTCCCAACTATGAGATTACGGCTTCACTTTTCGTGAGCACTCTAATCGACTCAGTGACGCTGCTGCTTGCCAAAGGGGCCAATCCCAATATTCAAGACAATAATGGGTTCACGGCTTTACATCTTGCCACTACAGAGATTATTTCGGGTCTCCAGCATGTGGACCATCCGATGTGCCCATCAAATTTCGAATGGTGTTCGTATGAAATGCTTTACCAGGTGTTGAGTACCATATTAACCTCATATCGATACATGAACACTAACTTATTGGATCAGGATGGAATGACACCACTGTTGATTCTGTTTCGGAGTCTAATGACAGTAGACTTGCTTGAGCTTGACCAGGAAAGTGGTTTTAGTAGTTGTGTAGAGGTCTTGTGCAAGCATGGCGCAGATGCTAACATTGCACAGAATGGGCAGTTCACAACACTCAACATTCTGATCTTTGTTGCAAGCGACATCATTCATAACACGACTGTGCCACTGGCTAAGGACCGATCATTCAAATTCATCAATGACATGCTAGAACTTCTACTGATGCATGGTCTCGATCCAAACCTGCGCTTCTCAAAGCGCACACAGCATGCACTCCTGTCCTTGATGGACATGGTCCATAATGCGCTGACGCCTGACGACCTCGTGTATGTTTACCAACTAACTGCGACACTGCTGCGATTCGGCTCTGATCCAAACATCGACATCTCGACGACAGAGCCAATGATATGCCACTCACAGAGCTCAGTGTTTCTGAAGAAGTCTTCGGGACAGGTGTTGTACTACTATGTGCAAATTCTGGCAAGGAATGACCACCTTCTATGTGGTCACGCGTACCTCAAGCTGCTGTACCTGTACTTCTACGCAATGTCACACAGGGAGCTGTGGAACAGCCTGCGAATATTGAACGCACAGACGGCTCTCATTCCGACCAACCAGGAGCTGACGATTGTGCTGCATGAGCTGTCAACAACACCCAGGACCTTAAAGCAGAATGCACGAATTGCCATCTATGAGGCTCTACGATATAGGCTGGTACCACGGGTCAGCCAACTCCCTCTACCGACTTTGCTGAAGAACTACCTGCTCAATTTTGAGCACTGAGCTGTCATTTGTGAAGGACATCATTATTGGCTGTTTTTTCGATTGTATGACGACTATTAACATTTACTTAGATGTATTGTTGAATTATTCAGCAATTTATAGACGTTTTGCTGAACATTCGGTTTTTCCAATCGTTTTATCCGATTTAAGAATAGCTTTTGCTAGGTGTTGAGCGAAATGTATATATGAATTACAGACAAAGTGGTTTTCGTGTTGTTTGTTGTGATCGGCAGTAATGATCAATGTAGGCGACAGCGGTAAAGTTTTATCTAGTCGAACCCTAGTGTATGTTACGGTAGATTGTGTTACATTACTGTAGTAGACGGTTCTTGATATTTCCGTTCATTATAGAGTTAAGAAAAATCATGAAGACGTGTACGCTCTTCTATTAGATACATATGTTCAATGTAAAACTTTTATATGTTTATCGTGTAGCTACGCGTCATTTTAGCATTACTATGATATGTGTTAAAGGTACTTGGTTTTGTGAAACCTTTCGTTAGATTTACAGAGTCAGATTCGGTTAGCAATTTACAGAAGGAGGCCCACATTGTGAGGAACAGATAATTAAATGCTTTCAGCTTCATCTTCCACTGAACAAAACCGTTATTAGCTCGCTAAGTTGCTGGCATGATCATTTTATCACTCAGTCGTGCGTTTCCATCTTCTCCCCAGTATACCGTCGGCAATGTGATAATTCTTACAGAAAATTTGCCAACAGCTAGAGAAGCTCTGATTTTCGCTGTACAATTCTATTTTCGGCATAGCAATTAATTGTATTTTTTTAAATGTCATCTGCGCATAGCTGCAGGTGTTACATGGAAGGTATATGGTGGTAAAAAATTGTCCACGTGAGATATACCTGTAGAGACATACAGATTCAGATTGTCATATACCATACAGTCTACACACGTCTGCATGTCGGGCCTACAAGAGTTAATCTGACATAAAGTAATATCACGAAACATCGCTACTATAACGTATAGATTCAAGGTATTGTGTGTAATGCGCGGCTTATGATCATTACGTATATATAGTCTATAGGAAAATCGTACTCATGCGAATACTCATAAATACTCGCATTAAGCACTCATAGGAGCTCACATTTGCCCTTTTACTGAGAATGCTATTTTAAGCATTTCAGTGGAATTGCTCCTTCAAGTTTCTGCTTCGGTGTTGGTGGTGTTGAGAAACCGCCACCCTATAAACGCTGCAGCCATAGTATCTGGCGTGTTCCGTGCCTAGGTGTGCAACAACTATCTTGTGCAGTATGTAAGAGTAAATTGCTCTCAGAAGTTGGGTTTGAAAGTAGGTTGGTCGTTGTGTAAGCGATTCAGTTTCTCAATTCCTTTCATACCACCTCACTCTATCTCTCTCTCTCTCTCTCTCTCTCGCTCCCTCTATTTCGTTCTCTCTCTCTCCCTCTCTAGGGCGCGTTTCACTAACGTTCGTTTGCTATTTTTCCTTCGCTATTTTCAAAGTTTATCCGTAAATAGCTAAGAACACGTCCGCGCGTGTTTCACAAAGCTCCGTTCGCTAAAGTTTTATTCGTTATTTAGCGAACAACTTTAGCGACACCTTTGCAGGGGATCGGTAAATTTAGCGAAGGACTTGCGGTGTATTTAAACCCTATAAAAACATAATGTAGCGCTGTGTGCGCTGTATATTGTAGCAGCGATGTCGCGGAGGTTGTTTCAGATAAATGCACCTAACTTTACTACAAACGATAGTGCCTATATAGGCACACTATTCACGCGAATACAAGCTCGTGCCCGTCCTGTACACACATCCACAATCAGACTGACACAGGCAGACTTGCCAATCTCTCTCAATTCATCTGCTAAAACGCGCGCCTGGGATCTACTTTAGGCTCCGTTTCGCCTGCCTGTCGGATAGAAAGAATATCAAAATGTTATATGTTTTACTCTAATCTTTCAATAGTTTATAATATATTGTAATGTGTGTTGTGAGTCTTTACATGCTATCGATGCCACAGATTTACATGCAAGTGTAGTCTCTGTTTGCAAACCGGTTGTCGAACGAGAGCCTGAGCATTGACAGATGTGACACACGCCCTAGCACGTCGTAAGCTCCGAGAATATAGCACCCATGCGACACAGAAATTAGCACGCACCTACTTAAAACACTTAATTAGCACTTATTTCGAGTAACTGTTATCGCCGCATCACAACTGCAAGCAGCGTATACAGGGGCGGCGCCAGGGTATTTTGTTAGGGGGGGGCGAAACCAGGGGCGTGTACAGGAGCACGCGAAGGGGGGGTCTGGGGGGCTCTCCCCCCGAAAATTTTTGAAATTAGACCCGCTCAGATTGTCATAGCTTGGCATTGTTTTCGTTATAAGCGAGTTCGTAGTTAGCCGTGTACGTGCACACGCCGTGCACACTTGTACGTGCACACGCCGTGCGCACTTGTACGTGCACACGCACGCACTTGTACGTGCACACGCACGCACTTGTACGTGCACACAAGCACGCACGTGTACGTACACACGCACGCACGCACGCCCGTGTACGTACGCAAGCACGCACGTGTACGTGCACACGCACGCACGTGTACGTGCACACGCACGCACGTGTACGTGCACACGCACGCACGTGTACGTGCACACGCACGCACGCACGCGTACGTGTCGTTGCTTTTATCGAGTGTTGAACACAATCATACAAACGAAAATGAGGACAACTATCACATCCCCCAGCACTCCTGCAGACAGCTAGAGCCATATGGTTTACACTAGAGGCCAACAGCCACTCCGTGGCAGCCATGAAGGGCCCACGATGAAGGGCCATGATGGGGGAACAAGAGAGGCGTCAGTTTGGTTCCTATGGTATGTGTCGCACAGTGTGATTGGTTTATGCTAGGCACGCCCCTCAACAGCCAGCAGCTACGATGGCGTAGTGGATTTACGCCGGAATTCATCAAAATTTGCGTACGCAGGTGCTACGCTGCGTTGATGAATCGCACCTACGAGCTTTGCGTACGTACTTCGTAGAAACTCTGTGTACGCAATACACTTTGCGCAACGTTGATGAATCCGGCCCCAGGGGCCCGCCTTAGTGCCCCTGTCCAGGGGCAGAGCCCCTGGCAGGGGTCCGGGGAAGCTCTCAGAGTTTAGCTAATCAAAGCCCTC